AACTGTGACAGGCATAGTGTGTAGTGTCCTACTTCTTTCTCACAGAGTGGTACCTGACTAGGCCTTGAATCTGACACTTCTCGGTTCTAAGACGCTACATCGACCGAACAGTCCCGGTTCAGTGAAACGAGATGTGAACCAAATAAGGAAAATCAAGCCGAAATATTTTCGACGGTTGTCATCGGCATTTTTGTTCGTCGGTTTTCTCGCCACCAGTATGCCCAATGTTGATACATCCTAACATGTACACAATAGCAACTCGGTATTATGGTTTACAAGCAATCCACTATAACAAGATAATCATTAACTTAATGCTCATGCTGTTTAAGCACTAAAGAGAAAATATCTGTCGAAGTTCAAAAAAGTTTTTGCCTGGCCGAGGTTGCTCAGTTGGTAGAACGTTAGATTCAGAACCAGGTTACGTCCGGTTGGGTCACTCACTTTTCTTACTTCACAATTTAATAAATGAGTACCATTCTGTACGAAGGCAACTGTATTCTGTGCAATATACTAGCTATTCAGCTGCTCTCAACTCTGCCTTTAAAATAAGGTACTCCTGTCTGATACATTAAAAATGGAGATCAGTACCCTCCATTAATTTCATGGAAAAGAGGGCTCCATAGCTAAGCGTAGGGAACATCAAGATCCCCAGTGGTTACAAACTTTCCTCTCCTTCTGTTAACAGCATTCATAAACTTTGACCTGATCCTGGATTCTTTGTACACTACTTCTGGAAGACGAACTTTGACATGTTCACAATTACGTTGACATTTGTAAACAGCGTTGAATTGCTTAATATTTGCCTACTTATTAGTGCTTAATACTGCTTTTCGTTATTTGCTATTATGTTTTTATTCGTTTTTATTTTTTATTCGCTATTATGTTTTTTGAAAATTCTGTCACCCCGAACTTCTCCGTAGCTTATTTGAATATGTTTACCTTTCATTCATGATTAATATGCTGATTGCACTTTGTTCATCTTTCTCCATATTCTGCGTAAATAATGCAGTATGCATGAGCATGTTCTATTTTGCTTTTGTAATTCAAAATTTTCGTTTTCGTTACATTTGCTTGGACACCTTTTTAATACGTATATTTCACTGACAAAATTTTCTTTTAGGTCACATCTCACATTATGAATTTTTCAGCAAGCTAAAACCTTTGAGCCACGATCGGAAGCTTCGCAAGAAAAAACAGCTTCGGAAAAACAAACGCCAGAGAAAGAGTACAAAACATTGGAAGAATAAGCAGTATCATGATTTTGATTATGATAATCAGGAAGAAACGCTGAATAATCAGCGCTTAAATAAAACAAACTCTAGGAAAGCAAAACTACGACAGAAGCTGAATTGTTCTCAGGAACTTCCTGCATTTTTTCGTCATGCCACAAAGAAAGCGGCACCTAAAGCAAAAACGTCGTCTTGTGATGCACG